AACAAACCATCCACACGTATTTTAGTTACATGGACTAGCTGTACATGCAACCACAATATACTCAACCGAAATAAGAGTTACTAATTAGTAAAAACAGTTCTAAGACAAATTAAAAGAATCCCACTAATTCATAGTATGAACTAGTATTATACCCTGAACCTAGATGTTTATTTTCATTATAGAAATAGGTGAGACAAGATTTTACTATTATTTACTACAACCCAAAGTCTCATAACCACACCCTGAAACAAATCCCTTATATATGTCACAGTCCCACAGATCCAAATTAAAGAAAATTCATACTTGCAGCAATGTGAAAAGGAAAAGGGGTTGTTCGACCGAGATAACATCTTGTAAATCCCAAAATGAAGCACATACATGTCCACCACAACCTCCAAGATAGATATGTGTAGGTCCCACTTTTGATAATCGAAAATGCTTAAAGGTGTGCAAAACAATGAATGGTATACACACTGTGTTTGCTTAGCATTACTAGCCAAAGAATCAACAAAGATCATAAAAATGTAGTTGTTACCTCAATGTATATATGCACAAACTGAGAGAGAAAAATCAGATCTTTGAATTTAACGGCAACAGTAACAATGGTCTTGCTCAAAATGAAGGACCCAATCATATTGTGATCTGATAATAAGTTGAGAATCTAAAATATTAATGTGTTTCGACATTAGGTTAACATAATTTATGAGAACCTAGCACACTAATCAACACCTTCAAGTCAATCACTCTTTATCCTGTTCATTAACTTTTATTTTCCCTTTTAACAGTTGCTATATACCTCTCTTCCCTTTTTTTATTGTAATAGAAAATTACGAAAGCCCAGTTAACTGAATGATACAAGTGAAACATTAAGTCAAATTATATCCAAACTCGGAAGATGTTTTCTTCTCTATCACTGACTCATTAATCTATTCAGTACTTATTACTAAACCAATATGCATTATCGATGCCAATGCCGACAGTGAAATTCTAAAACTATTCAATTCGAGTTAACAACTCTACTGGTGGTATACAGCAAAATAAGAATCCAAGTTATACAAGCAACTTCATAAGTTCGTGAAATATGGGAAAAAAAAAAAGAAAGAAATATTCCTCAAAGGTATTAAAGGGTGAATCCGAAACACGACACGGATGAACTCTATTCCCAACGCCCAACCACAATTACATACCCCACTAATTAATAAAAGATGCCAAACCATTTAATCAAATCGACCAGAATTTAAGTCTCCATCCATAGTATCGGCAGGAAAATGACAAATATCCAGCTAGCAAAGGCTACGTTGCAGTAGCTTCACTTGCATGCGAACCACGCGTCACAGGCCTAATAATTCTGTTTTTCAGAAGAATACTAATTATTCTAATTTTTTCTCCAACTAAGGCCTAAAATGCATCCTCACCAAAGCACCTGTGTTCCCCTGTGGTGCCTATTTAAAGCCGAATCCTAAACTGCAAAAAGAATCACTGAATACTTTTTCTAGTCTGAAAATTGCCTTCGCTCCCAAAGCTCACTCAGTTTCCTCTCTTCCTTTTAAATCGAAAAATTTCCAAAACCTTCACCATGAGAAACATTGTTTTTAGCGAGCCAGAGATTTACGAGAACTATGATCCAGTGAGACGTCTCAATAAGATGTGGGACTCTATACGGGTTCCAATTATCGTCCCCCTTTTGCGCTTTGCGGTTTATCTATGTCTGGTCATGTCAATCATGCTTTTCCTCGAAAGGGTCTACATGGCAATTGTAATTGTCTTCGTCAAACTCCTGGGAAAGAAAAGGTACACCAAGTACCAGCTAGACGCCATAAAGGAAGACCTCGAGATGAATAGGAACTACCCCAAGGTGTTGGTTCAGATCCCTATGTTTAACGAGAAGGAGGTAAAAACACCGAACTATCATCTTTAATGTACCTCATTACAGTTGGCTTCTTGTGGAAACGTACAAATTTGGGTCATGAATTTGTAATCAAATAGAAAATAGTAACAGCAATTCATAGAAAAATTTACTAGTCAGTAAAAAGATTCTTTTTTTACTACAAATAGAGCAATGATTAGAAAATATTGCACTATCAAGTGCACGGCGAAATTCTTAAATAAGAACATGGGGCAACAGAAGCTAATAAATAGGTACGTGACAAAAGCGGCAACCAAGGTGCTGTGTGATCTAATGCTTAATCAACTGAGGGGTTAAAAATAACAGAGTAAAAAGGATAGCTTCCAGATCTGAGGTACTCAAAGTAGGAACTAATCCAAAATCTTTCCATTGTGTCTTAGGTTTATAAACTATCAATTGGAGCTGTATGTGGGCTATCATGGCCATCAGATCGGCTCATCGTGCAGGTTCTTGATGACTCCACCAATGAAGAACTAAGGGTATCCTTTCTTCTCCAAGAATAACTTAGCTTTCCTCTCTAAGACATATATAACTACATATATAACTGTATCAGTAAATCAGATAATTTATTTGGCAGCGATTGGTGGAATTAGAATGCCGCAAATGGACAGAAAAAGGAGTTAATGTCAAGTACGAGACCAGAAACAACAGGAACGGGTACAAGGCTGGTGCACTTAAAGAAGGCCTAAGGAAGGACTACGTTAACAATTGTGAATTTGTTGTGATATTTGATGCCGATTTTCAGCCAGACGATGATTTCCTGTGGAGGACTATCCCATACCTACTCGAGAACCCAGAGTTGGCCTTGGTTCAGGCAAGGTGGAAATTTGGTAAGGCAGAATTGATTAAGCCACAAAACACTAGAATTTTAGTCAAATATCGGAAACAAGACAATTCGTGGATAAAAATTTTTAATAACAGAAGTAAAAGGCCTCAGAAAAACTATGAACCGGATAGTAAAGTTATAAGAAAAAAGAGAAGAGAAGAAAAGAAAAGAAAAGAGAAGGATTCTACCACTCATCACAGCTTCACATGGTTTAAGAACTTGTTAAAAGAACAATTTTGAATTTTGCCAGTGAATGCCGATGAATGCTTGATGACTCGACTTCAGGAGATGTCACTAAGCTATCACTTCAGTGTGGAGCAGGAAGTTGGCTCCTCCACTTGCTCGTTCTTCGGCTTCAATGGTTTGTCACTTGTCGAGAACTCATATCTGAGTTTACGGTTTTATATTCTTGAAATACGAACTATAAGTATCATGATTATGAACAACTGGAATTTTAGGAACTGCCGGCGTCTGGCGTATCAAAGCACTGCATGACGCTGGCGGCTGGAAGGACAGAACCACAGTGGAGGATATGGACTTGGCAGTTAGGGCTAGCCTCAAGGGCTGGAAATTCCTTTTTGTTGGTGACTTATCGGTGAATTTCGGAACTCTAATTCATATGCACTAACTGCAGTTGTGACACAAACATTTCTACCTGATAGAATGCAATCACATCATTTGCAGGTGAAAAATGAGCTCCCGAGCACATTCAAAGCATACCGATACCAACAGCACCGCTGGTCATGCGGGCCCGCTAACCTCTTCCGAAAAATGTTCAAAGAAATCATCATGTGTGAGGTAATAAATTTTACGAATTTATCTATCTTCTGGGATTTTAGCGGACCAAGAAATTTCACAAAATTCCTTTCTTTTCTAATGCAGCGTGTTTCACTATGGAAGAAATGGCATGTAATATACGCTTTCTTTTTAGTGAGGAAGATTGTAGCACACTGGGTTACCTTCTTCTTTTATTGCATAATAATCCCAGCTACAATCTTGGTCCCAGAGGTCAATCTTCCAAGACCATTAGCTATATATCTTCCCGCGTGTATCACCATTCTTAATGCAGCCTGCTATATATCTTCCCGCGTGTATCACCATTCTTAATGCAGCCTCAGTTGTAAGGCAAGAAGATCCAGCTGAGCAAAATGAAACTGATTAATTTTCAGTTTTGATGTAGAATCATATAAAGAAACTGAGAGACAGGAGTTTTCACTTACTTGGTCCACAGGTCTATGCATCTGCTTGTCATCTGGATACTGTTTGAGAATGTCATGTCTCTACATAGATCAAAGGCAGCAATCATAGGACTCCTCGAAGCCAATCGAGTAAATGAATGGGTTGTAACCGAGAAATTGGGAAACACGATGAAGCAAAAGAACAATTCAAAATCATCCAAGAAGCCTCGATCGCGCATCAGAGAGAGGTAATAACCAGTATACACAATAATCTTTTTCTTCCATGTAAAAGAAAGGAGGCATTTTAAATATGACAAAAAACATTTACCATAGATGAAATTTCTTTTTATCATGATGTACTCAAATCATCACTCATATCAACTCAAGCAAGTTCATGTTATGAACAGGGTTCACATCTTGGAGATTCTAGTAGGGATGTACTTGCTTCATTGTGCGATCTACAATATGCTATTCGGACACAACCACTTTTTCGTTTACCTATTACTACAGGCAGGAGCTTTCTTCCTCATTGGAGTTGGGTATATAGGGACGTTTGTACCCACATGACGAAGGGAGTTACGAGACCATGAGCTCTAATCTGCTAATATATTAGTGAATAGTTTTTCATTTTTTCTAATTTTTTTTATGATATATTGTATAACCGTATATAAAAAAGCCATGTAATTATATTAAGTTCTATATAGATGTTGCATTTGTTAGTGATAATTAGAACTTTAGAGGGTAACTTATGTTTCTTTTATTATCTTATATGACATTCTTGGCTCGCCAATAATTGCTCCCCAGGCATTCAGTCATGAACCTGAAAATTAAAAAGGAATTCATATATCCCCAGCATCTGCAAAAGAAAATGAGAAAAGAACTCATAAGATTAGTATACATAAATATTGATTGAATAAAGCTATATGAACAGGCTTTCAATGAAACAGGTTCTCGTACCAAAGCTTGGAGAATGAGATAAACAACACAGTTAACTCTTTTAACTTACACGAATGTCTTACATTATTCTAAAAAGTACATTGTATGATCGTTGTCACATAACAGAAAATTGACCATTTTAATGCATTTCTAACTGCTTTGATCTATAAGTTATATTGTGCAGACTGCAGAATCATGGTAGAACAGAGTTAGGGAGACAATTTACATTGCCCATTTCTGAGGCTTTACATGCCTAATCAATGACTACAAAATAACCAAAAAAATATATATTAGTTCTTAGAATCGTGAATTGATATTCCAAAATCCAGGCATTCTTTTGACACCTTTTAAGTGGTCATTGAGTTCCACAATGCCTTATGTTATGTGAAGAAAGATTTGGTGTCTTCCCCAAAAAATTAATAGACCACAAGGAAAAAAACTCTAAAATACTATTAGAAAAGGGGTACAAAGGGGACCACACTACTTGCGACGAAATGTCGCTGCTAATAATTTAAAGCCACGCCAGACCAATCAAAATGCCTGGCTATGAATTACTTCAACCTAATTAATATTTAGCACCAACATTCTTGCAGCTTACAGGAAGTGGCTACGACAGCAAAATTTTCTGTCGCTAAGACAAATAATTATCCTATAAGTGGTGAGACCAAATAAAGAAAGTTAAAATATAATTACTGCAATCAAATCCTTGAAAGCACAGATATAAAATTTATTGCCTATAAAACATTTAGTTGTTTCTAAATTTAGTACACATATTAATAATGTATGTCTATGAAACAACTAAATACTAACACACAATAAACTTAATGGGACATTTTGTTACCAAGAAAAATTGTGACTAAAATCACTCTCTCAACATGCCCAAGCAACCATGTTGCTTGATTTTTGGCTCCAAAATGAATCGAATGAACCCTCATCTTGACGAAGTTACTCAGAAGGTCACTGCTCACCAGGTCACACCATGTGATCAAGTCCCAGTGAGTGCGCCCCTGAAAAACTACCATAAGCTCAATTTTAAGCCGAAATTGATAGTATAAGTATGACCACAAATTGACTTTGTACACAGTTCAATGTTGCATCTCCCGTGAGATTAACAATGCATGTTGTTAAATACTTAAATATATTTTTTCCCACGTGAAAATGGACAGAAGCTAGCAAGATCAATACGCAACATTTCATCTATTGCTGAACTACCCAAGTGTGGAGGACAATGGTAGCAAAACAAGAATGCATTTAGTGAGATATGTAGAACGAATTTACATACTCAACCATCTAAGGAAAAAACGTTACCTCTATGAATGATATCGTATGACACTGCAGGCAAGCAATGGTTAATACAGGTTCAAATAAGTGTCCATTACGAGAGACTTTGTCAATTTCTATTATGCAACAACAAATACAACAACAACAACAAGCCGTTAAAATCCCACTAAGTGGGGTCGGCTATATGGATCACATGTCGCCATCGTGCTTGATCAAAACACATATCTGCATTCAAATTTAAATACTTCAAATCATCTTTTATTGTTTCTTTCCAAGTTTTCTTAGGTCTACCCCACCCGCTTTTAATTTGCTTTTTTAATTCTAATTTGCATTCTTTATTATGCAACACCTTGGAAAAAATGAGTTGTTCTATGAAGAAAGATCAGATAAAAAATAATAAAGTATGCAATATTGATCTATGCTAGTTTCTGAATAAAAAATTTATTGATAAAAACCTGTAAACCATGCAACTAAGGACCCAAGGCCCAGTCCAGCTGACATTTGAACCAGGAGGCAACCCAGTCTAAGTTAGTCATAGTTTCTTCAAGAGTTTTAACTATACGATATTAATATATTGATTATTGATTACTTGAAATGTTAAGACTTACAATTTTACTTGAAAGAAAATAAGGACTTATATTACGATAAAACATTTTACTTTATGATGTTAACCCGATGACCCGTGGTTGACCCATTGACCTGGTGGCCAACCTAGGTCAATGCAGGGCCACATCTGACAATATTGATAATATGATATTTTGTAGAAGTTTTTATATAACACAGCCAATGAACTTTGAAAAATAGACAAATTGAGCTTAATTCTAGCAATTTAAAACTCAAAAATGTCACTAGTCAAAACTAGAATTTAGATATGTTGTCATAATCAATGCAAATCAACTCGAAAACGGAAGGAGAAAAGAAAAACATAAATTCCAATCCTCAGCTAAATTAACACAAGTCTAGCCAAATGCATCACAGTTAGGTCTGCATGACATTCAGCTAACGAAATTACACAATAGATCCAAAAACCCATAACACATACACAACCCGAATAAACCTCTGAGTGAGTCAGTTCACAAAGCTGAGTGATGAACACGGTTCGGAACACGACGGCACTTCGATCCTGTCAAACAAACAACAGATTTAGCCCCAATATCACATTAAAAGACCACTTAGAACTGAAATCAAGCTCCATTGCTAACATCAAGCACCAGCACCTAAAAATTCCATATGGAATTGATTTGATATTGAAGTCATAATCAATGCAAAACAACTTGGCAAAAAAATATTAATTCAAAAACTCAGACAAATTAACACAAGTCTAGCCAAATCATACCGCTGAGAGATCCGCATTACATCCGGCCAACAAAATTATTACAATCAATCCAAAAAACATAACACATGCACAGCCAGAATTAACCTCTCAGCAAGCCGATTGAAAGAGCTGAGCGATGAACACGGTTCAGTACACCCCATGCACTTCGATCCTGCGAAACAAATACCAGATTTAGCCCCAAATTTCACATAGAAAGAGCTGAAATAAATCTCCATTACTCATCAACCAGCAGAACTCCAAATTCCAAATGCAATTTATTAGAATTGACATCATAATCGATGCAAATCAACTCCCAAAAAAAAAAAAATAGAAAACAAAACCACTACAAATCAAATTATTACAAGTCTTGCCAAATCATATCACCAAGAGATCTGCATGACATTCAGCCAATGAGATTATACAATTAATCCAAAAACCGATAGCACATGCACAACCAGAATTACCCTCTGAGAAAGTTCATAGACAGAGCTGAGTGATTAACACAGTCCAGAACACGACTTCACTTCTATCCTGTCGAACAACAGATTTAGCCCCAAATTTCACATTGAAAGATCACTCAGAGATGAAATCAAGCTCCATTGCTCCACATGCAATTGATTTGAAATTCAAGTCATAATCCATGCAAAACAACTTGAAAAACAGAAAACATAAATAACTAAAAATTCAAATCCCCAACCATGCAGCCAAATTAACACAAGTCTAGCCCAATCTCTTCACAGAGGGATCTGCATTACATCCAGCCAACGAAAAATAACACAATCAATCCAAAAACACATAACACATGCACAATAATTTGGCCCCGATTTTCACATCGAGAGGCTACTAAAAGTTGAAATTGAGCTTCATTAGTAACATCAAGCACCAGTACTCAAGAACTCCGCATGCAACTGAGATCCCAAACGATAAATCCAAGTACTATAGACAACAAATAAACAATAAAATGTTCATTATTAAAATACAAAAAACAGGTAGAAACAATAGTATGAAGGATTTCTTTCTTACCACACAAAATTTCCGGCGAAAACCTGACCACCACTGGTACCTCTCTCTCTCTCTCTCCTTGTGTTTTGTGCGTAGAAAGTTATGTCAGCTGGAGATAAAAATGAGAGTTGGGTGAGTCAGTTGGGAATAAATGCTAAAAAGATGCTGAGAGTGGGCGACACTTACGAGGGGAAATTTTTGGGAGAATTTGGGTTAGGACTTAGGCACTTGAAATTTGCGAACTATTCTGTGCTGGTCCCTGCATAAAGTGTGTGATGAAAGACCTCGTATTATGCAAAAATTGAAATTAGACCCCTGCCAAATGTCGATAGAGCCGTCAAAACGGTTTTGGACCCTTGGACTCCCTTTCTCGGGCCTATCATGGACCGGGGAGAAAAAATAAGTAATTAGAAATTAAAATAGATAGACAATGGAAATTTGAAAGTTATAAGTTTCAATAAGATAGGTTAATAAAGGGCCAATAGGCTAAAATACATAACTATGCTAGAAAAATCCATGAACATTAGTTGGTACATTGAATTTCCAAAATATCAATTTCGTTCCAACTGATTTACAATCTCCAAAATAAAAAGACTTAAAAGGGGTGTATTCCTTTCAGAATTCTAATGACTTTTAAAGACTTTTAGGATTTATGAAATTTAGGTTTATTTAAATTAGACTTTTTAGGATTTTAAAAAAATTTGAGGTATTCAATTAGGATTTTCAATGACTTTTTAAAAGTCTCTTAAAATCCATAGGTATTCAATTTGGACTTTTTAAAGTCCCATAAAATCAAGAGATATGCATTTCCTTTTCAATTCTTTTGGATTTGTCATTTATTTGGATTTAGAGGGATTTCAATGAGAAAGTATATATACCAAATTCCATTACAAATCCCACCGGTATATGAGAGATTTTAAGATTTTGCGAGAAAAGAGTTTACGAGGGGACGATTTCTCTTACGAAGGGAACGATTTATCTTCTCATACTTTGCTCCTGAATTGTTCTAAAAGGTACCAACATCTATTTTTGTGATTAGCATCTCTATTATGTATGACAATTTTGATTATGTTTCACGTGTATGTGTATGTTTAATGAAATTATTTCATGCTTTAGTCATGTTCTGTTTCATGCCAATTACTAATAATCTGTTTCATGCTTATGTTCAACAAAATTATTAGAATTCATGCTTATCATTGTGTTTCTGTTCGCATTTTGTTTAATTAAACTTATTATGTTTAATGGTGTTTCTGTTTGAATTATGTTTAATGAAACTTATTAGATTTCATGCAACCATGGCGTTTCTGTTTCATGCTTATGCTCAAAGGATCTGGTGGAAAATTATTAAATCCTATGCCACTACGCCATGGTTTAATGAAAATTATTAGATTTCATGCTTATCATGGACTTAATATTTATTAATTAACCTCCAATTTGTTAGAAGCTCAAGCTTTTCTAATGTCACTGAATGGAATAATAGCCAGAATTNAACCAATTAATATTGCAAAGATGAACAAGTCTTTTCTATTGTCACTACTCTTTAAACGATTATACTATAGCCCATCTCAAGACTTCATTGTCTTGATTATATTCATTAAATAGAATTCTTTTTTTATAACAGATCATATTTAATGACCGGTCAACAAATCCATGTGAAATTCCTGATTATTGTACTTTGTTATGCAGTTTTGCTATGGAGTAATCGGATGACACAACTTATGGAGTCATCCATACTTATTCACAAATATTGTCTTGATACGTGTTTTCAAATAAATACACTTTGGACATGTGTCAATACATTAAATAATGGATGACTTCATAAGAAAACCATCTGATGGCTCTATAGAATTTTTATTATGCACTTACCACAAATTCTATGTATGTTAGGTTTATTGCAGTAGGGTATGCTGAAAGTTTCATTATGTTGTTTATCTATATTCTTTGCATTCTAATGTTTAGGATTAAGTCCTTAAGGCCAAAGCTGGTGCTACCATAAGTGTTTTTTTTTTNTTTTTGATTAAAAAATATATACTAGGTAATGGGAGATCCAATGAAAGAAAATGATTAAGGTTCAGGATATCAAAGTTGGACTATTGAAGAGAGCAATTAACTTCTAAAGTTTATGGTTGATGTTTCTAATCGTGATTAGTGTGATCATGCTGGGAAAATAAATAAGATAACCGTCGAAAGACATATACTAATACCTTTGAATGAAAAGTTAAGAGATCGCCCGGACTTACAATCAATATATAAGTCGAGTGAAATATTTTATGAAACAATATGCCAAGTGCAATTAGCGTATGCGGCATAACTCTGGCTTTGGATGGGATCTCGAAACAAAGTTTGTCACTGCAGATAATAAAATATGGGATGATTACTTTATTGTTAGCCCCCCATTTCTTTTACTTTTGTATCAATAATATATCATTCATACCTTAATAATTTAAATAAGAAGTTCAGTACAACTTACAATTTTTTTTTCTTTGATTTACCAGTCTCATCGTAAAGATTCAAGCTTACGAACAGACCCTCATCCAGACTATGAAGGTTTGAGAATTGCCTTGGCAACGGTACAACTAAAGATTTTCTAATAGTTTATTTGTTGATAATAAATTATTTTGAATATTATTGATAACTTTGTAGAAACAATTACTGTTTTTTGACATTGTTTGTATCTTCCATAGTTCGACTCGTTGAAGCTCAGATTGATTTTCTCGTTTAGTAAATCTAAAACCCTAAACAATTTGTTCGTGAATAACTCATTTGGCATAACAATGAGTTGATTCATAGTATTTTGTTTTTTGACAACTATAGGGTCCTATAGTTGAACATAAAATCAAACTGAATTTGAACGTAAAAAATAAACAAAAATGTCTGGATTGAATTTTTATGTTGAACAAAACCTGNGTAATTCACATGATGTACAGAAATGCAGTTGACGCGATTCAAGTGAATGCATTGGTAGTTTTATAAACATCCAATCATATGAAACATTATCTCGCTTCCAATCTCCCCATCTCGTAAGTATTCACCTCAAAACCCTCTCTCCAGAGATTCAGAAAATCCAACGAAGCGACAACTCTTGAAATAAATTGATAAATTAGGGCATCGACGACTCGAATTTGGGAATCGACAATTAGCGGAGGCGCGGCCTTTTTCTCCGAATATGTATGACGAGGCTGCGATTGGATTCTAAAAGGCATCGAACGAGGGGGTAGGGTTCTACCGTTGACCATAGGTGGCGGTCGGAGATCCGTCCAATGCATGCCATATGTTGCAGGTCCGACGACCTATGAATTTAAGTTTGAGTGAGATCGGGTCCTGCTAGGACTTTTCTGTTTGATAAGTGCACAAAGTGAAGAATCCCCCATAATATAATTTCAAAACGTGCTGAGCCTGAATGGCTGGCTCGCATGCTTCGAAAGTTTACTTGGCAACATTACATGCTTCGGCTTTTGGTTCGAATGAAAATTAATACAATTATATTCCAAAATAAATAGGATTCTCCAACTCCAAAATAAATAGGATTCTTATATCCTCGAACTTAGGATTCTTATCTCCTCCAAACTTTATATGCTGTGTAAATAGGTGTGAAACTATCCATATCGAACAACAAAGATTACACGGGTTAAGAATCCTATACCAATTAAATGTTAAGAATCCTATATCAATATTGCTTAATCCGATCCCCTCCAAATTATATTTATTGTTAAATTAAATGAATAAAGTCTCACGTTACTACGGATGTATACTACTCTGTTCGTTTGTTTGTATGGAGATATTGCTTGTGATATCAAACTATTCAGTATTATTTTAATACTTATATTTTGTTTGGTTCATCAAGTTTAAGCTCTTGATAGGAATTTTAGCCCAATTTTCTAATATTTACCATAAAATAATAATTTTTTTATAATAAAGATATGCAGATATTAATAATAAACATAGAATGAATATGTATAAAATTCTAAAACTTATTTCTCTATAAATAAAGTATAAAAATGATTGAATATTATGATGATGTTGGAAATAAAAAATATAAGTAACTATTAAATTTTACAGTAATAAAAAATTATTAGTTATACTTCATAAATTCATAAAATGTTAGGTTAATAAATATTGATTTATATTTTCGATGATCGAATAATATTAACTAGAAAAAGCACAATAAATAAGATAAATAAAATATAATTTATATAATATTTCAAAATATATCTATAAGCAAACATACAACTCATATTGATTCAAATTTGCCCAATTGAATTTTAAAAAATTAAAACCAAATTAATAAAGTTGTAAATCATATTATTGATAGAAATATATAAGTTTATAAATGTAATTAATATGATCAATATTTTTTATAATTTGAGGATAAAAAATGTATGTCGTTATAAATAGTTATTCATTATTTATTCTACATTTATTTTTTATAATAGAAAAATAAATACTTTTATATATATTCATTTTTTTATAATTTTTTTTTCAAACACCCGTGTAATACACGGGTGTCGTACTAGTAAATGTAAAACAATAGGAGAAAGAGGGAAAGAAGAAAATGTAAAAGAATAAGGCAGAATAATCGTGAAAAATAAAATGAAGAAAGAGAAGTAACTGCAACATCCCTTTAACAATAAACAATTATGAGATTTTAAATATGATGATAAATAAAAAAGCATTAAATTAAAAGAATAAAAGTGGACAAAAGTGAAATAATGACATGATGTGTTAAAATAGAAATAAATTTTTGGGAGATTTTTATCTCTCCTACAGGATATGGAAAATATTGCAACAATACAACACAAATAAAATTAATTGTGTCTTTACTCAAAAGATAATACTTAACTACATTAATGCATAATTCAGTTACCATGTCAATCCAACTTCCACTCATTGTTTTACGCATGATTTGCGTTCAGTTGCATAAAAAAACAAATAAAAATATATTTTGAATATGGAATGAATATCATAAAATCTGGCTAGTTACCTAACTTGAATATATCTCTTGTGTGGTTCACGTCCTACGATCTCAAGCTTATACAGAACATAATTAATCATGATGAAAAAACAAATTCAATCAGTAATCAAATTCTAAAGCCTCTCAAAACCACCCAAGGTGGCATCATCACGTCAAGATAAAAAGGCCATACTCACCACAAAGTAGACGTATCCTTGCCAATACACCACAAAAATGTTTTTAATTCTGTTACCATGTTAATTTTATATATTTTTTTATATTTTCTACTTTATTTTATTCTTACAATTTGTAAGATAATTAAGTAAAAATAAATCATACATATGCACAACAAATCCAACAAAAAAATAAAAGAATAAAAACATATCAGTATTAATGAATATTTTTAGTATATGTTGCGTTTATACTTCGTATATTTTCAGTATATTTTTAGTATATTTTCAATATATTTATACTCCGTTTATACCTCGTCTTTATTTACATAACTTTTACCGAGTCAAATGTCCGATTTTGCATGCAACTCTTGAACAACAAAACCAGTCAGTATATTTTAGCATATGTTGCGTTTTTATTTACAACTTGTACCAACTGTTGAACAAACACGAGTCATATACTGTACATATATTGTACGTATACTCCAAATCAAAAGTCTGTGAACCAATGTGGTGGCCGCAAGACGGCTCGGGAGGATGCGAGTCATATACTGTATATATACTGTACATAGCCATGGCGATCGAAAAACTTGAGCACAACCAACTGAAAGAGAAATCAAGAGAAAGCGTCGGGGAGGTGAGATGGAGGCGACAAGACGGGCGACGGCGTCCAAGAAACAACCAAAGGCAGGCATCTCTTCACAAATCTAAATCTCTGCCCGACGATGGGTTAGAAGAACGAAAAAGGAAATGAATCAATGAATTCTGGAAAAATCTAACAAAAATATTATTGTGATTATTAGGGCGAAAAATAAATTCGAAATTGAAAATCCGATGGTTGTGTCAGGTGGGGGCTCTGTGCTCCTAGGAGAGGTTGTCGTCAGTGAAGAAATGATGATAATAAATGGAATCCTCGTCTACACGTGCCATCACAAGCCTTTGGGGTTGGCTGTGTCCCTGTCAAATAGCTCATCAGCCTCCTCGGAGTATCTCTCTCTCGACGATAAACCAGCGGATTTTGGGAGAATTTGGATATGGAATTGAAATTTGCACAGATTATCCTCGTGGATCTCAACAGGATTCCTATGTTTTGGGTATGAAAGAATAACAACAAATGCTTCTGCGTACTCTGCGCCGCAAGTTAGGTTAGTGGGCCTATTTATGTGAAGGTTTGTGGATGAAATTAGATATATTTATAATATTTTGTGGTTGATTTAATTATTTTATAAATAAGAATGTCATGGGTGTATAAGTGTAATATAAATCAAATCTAATTGTAAGGAGTGTAATTTCCTCTAATTTTTTTAAAAATGGTGAAGAATGCCTTCAATTCTAGGCCAATAAGTAACTACTACTTGAGAGATAAATATTAACAGCCCAAAATGTCAGAACGGTCCAATTATGGGCTGCTCAAATATTCTTTGGCCCAACAGACCACACCACATTTCACCTTTTTCCAATATTTTCGCCATTTTTTGGGAAATTTCCATCTGATTAAGCTGCAAGCAGAAAATGGCTGTGTCAGCGAGCTCTCCTCATCTGTTATGGCGGCACGCCGCAAACACTGGCGGTATCCGCCGTGGAATATTCGCCGGGATTCCTCTTCGTCCTCTACTCTCCCATCGTATTCGTCTTCACCTTCCTTCTCATCCTCTTTCAGTTCCCAATTGCCCTCGTAATTCCTCTTTCTACTTTACCTAATCTGATCCGACGTCGTTTTCGCCCTTCTTCCTCCGCTATGTTCTCGCCGGAGGCTGATAATCCTGCCGGCGCCGGCGCTTGAATTTATCTTGGTGAATAAAAAGAGGTCAAGAGGTAAAACGAATTTATCTGAAGCTTATTAATTTACCAAAATGGCCTCGTACGTTATCTTCTCTCTCTCTATAAATACCCCTTTCAGCTGACCATATTTTCTCGCTCTTCCCCGATTTATCTTTCCCGATCTGTATTTCCGTTTTCAGTCTGCGACTAGGGTTTTATCGCTCTAACCCTAAATTCTCATTTTCCCCCAAATTATCATCTTCAAGGATAGACCCTAGAGCAGTACCTCTCTTCGCATCTCTACAGGGTTTTATCGCCATTGTATTTCAATCCGTTCCCTTCGTCGTCGAACAATTTCCATTTTGTCGCGAATCTGAAGACTTGCCGGAAGATTGCAGTCGCTTGTAAGCTGGTAACAATTCACTAGCAGGCTGTATATATCCTCACTGTTATTCCTCCATATGTGTAGAGATACATAAGTCATCCTTGTATTCCCTGCGTAGGATTTTGTCTCAGCTGGTTTCTAGGGATTTTTCTGATTTCCTGGACAGAACAGAAATGATGGTAATTTCAATAGTTTGCTGAATTTCTTGAGCCTTGTTAGGGTCCTTTTCGAAGCACTTGAAAAAAAACCCCTAAATGATTCTTGAGTCTGAACATGAACGATGGAGGTCGAGCTGAAGGGAAGACAGACGAGCCAAACCATTCGATCCGCCAACCCTGTGCAGAAACTTACAGCTGGGCAATAGCAAGAACTGCAGTGGCTCAGATATGTGATACCGTAGGTTTTGAAGGGTTCAATGATTCTGCTCTTGATTCGCTTGCCGAGATCGTAATTAGGTACATTCGCGACTTGGGTAAAATCTCCAAATTCTATGCTAATTTAGCCGGTAGGATAGAGTCCAATGTGTTTGATGTGGCCCAAGGACTTGAAGACTTGGGCTTGCCACAGGGGTTATCTAGTGCTTCGGATACTCACACTGACTGTAAAGTAAATTCAAGTGCTATAACAGAGATTAAACATTACATCGACACTTCCCAAGAGGTCCCTTTTGCACAACCTGTCCAGAAATTTCCGGTGATCCGTGAAGGAAAAGGGATACCTAGTTTTTCGCAAGTGGACGAGCTCCCGAGCTTCAAGCACATCCCTCCATGGCTGCCTGCTTTCCCAGACCCACACACTTACATACGGACGCCCGTTTGGAATGAAAGGGTTTCAGACCCTCGTGCAGATAAGATCGAGCTCGCCAGGCAGCAAAGGAAGGCGGAGAGGTCTTTGCTGAGCTTGCAGCAGAGAGTGCTGTGTAATGGCCAATCATCTTCATCTGTGCCCGAGCCATCCGAATCAGATGTTGGTAAAACGGGTGACCCGTTTTTTGCTGGGGAGAAGCAAATCTCTTTGGTGAAGGGATTTGCTCCTCCTGCAGTTGAGTCGATGAGTGATGGGGAGAAGCACGTCTCGTTAGTGGAGACATTTGCTCCTGCCATTGAGTCGATGAAGGACGGGCTGGACTGGGGGAATGATGGGGAGAAGGTTGTTGTTCCGGAAAGGAGGGCAATCTCGGTATTTTTGGAGCTGAAGAAGGGTAAAAAGGTCTTTGGCGAGCCTTTGGATCTGAGGATAAGGAATAAGGCGGAGTCGTGGTTTGGGCGGGAGGACGAGAGGGACGATAAGAAGAGAAGGGTCGAGTTTATACTCCGGCAGTCCTTGGAAAATCAACAGGAGCTTCCCCAGTTGTAAATTGTCTTTTTATTTTTTATCTCTATTTTTGTTAATTTCTTTTTAGTTGGATGAATGTTGTTTGGGGAAGAAACAAAGGGTTTGTCGAACTCAGCAAAAATACGGTAGTTTGTCTAGTGATTGTGGTGCTAATCTGTTTTAGAATCCGGAACTAGGTTAAGACATTTTTCGAGATTTGTTGAAGTTTTCTGATTTTTCCAACTGTTGGTCAGATTTGTTTGTGTTTGTTTGACATTGATTTTTTTAGTGAATGAAATTGTAGTTTCTTGTGAACTATGTTACTCTTGCACTTTGCTGAGTTTGTGTGCGAGTGTGGAGACTGAATTTTGAGGTAAAATGTTCAAGAATTCTTTCGTGTGTTTGAGGTGGGCTTAAATATGAGTTTCATTAATTGAATTCAGATATGTTTTTATAAATCTGCAGCAGAATTTTTCCAGGACATGCAGCAAAAAAATGAAGAAGAAAACAGGAGAAGAAGATTTTACAACTAAAAATGGCTGAAACACACCTCTTGAATATCACGAAGGATTCGTATTCATGTCCCATTGGAAATGCCATTCATAGATGATGAATATCAGGAAATCGAAATTCTTTTACCACTAAAAATGGCTGCTAGAGCTCTTGAATACTACTGAAGAATTCAAATTCATCTCATTGTTCATGTATTTGAAATCTTCAGCTTCTAGCTAGATTTGAAATCGAAAGAGAAGCTATTTGGGCCTGGAAATTTCTACGTACGGGTGGTCCCCCCCAAAAAATAAAAATAAAAATAAAAATAAAAATAATAATAATAAAATATATATATATATATATAGAAAAAAAAGAAAGATCCAACACATGTATACCATGAGATTCAATTGGACCAAACCTATTTGTCCGAACAATAATATTTTTGTTTTAGTGTCTAATAGTTAGGCAACTATAAATTTTTAATATATTCACTTATTTTTATACCTAAGCTAGGGCAGATCCCGTGCAATGCACGGAATGTACAATTTTATTATTATATTCGTGAATAAAAAAATAAAAAAATAAAATAAAAAAATATTATTATATATTATTATTAAAAATCTCCTTGTAGTAGGGGAAGGTCCACTTTTGGTCCTCCATGTTTAGGGGGTATCCAGACTGAGTCCCTATTATGTTTTGGTGCCCAATTTTAGTCCTTAAAATAAAAAAATGTAGTCCCTATAATTGGAAAAAATCCACTTTTAGTCCTCCATGTTTAGGGGTATCCAGATTTAATCCCTATTATGTTTGATGCTCAATTTAGTCCTTAAAACAAAAAAATGTAGTCTCTTTACCTCAATTTATGTGAATTAACGGTCCATTTTTGCTCGACCGTTATGTTCTTTATTTTTTTAAAATTTGTTGACTAATGTCAACCTTGACCAAAGAAAAATAAAAGAAAATTTAAATGCTGAAAAAGTAAAATAAAAGGCAGAAATAGTGAACTGCAGTGAAACGTAAAAAAAAAAAACTAACCGCCTAAATCCGATCAAATGGATGGAAATGGTGTGGTATTTTGTAGATGTGAGCTGGTTGCAAAGTTGACTACATGCTGGAAGGATGATAATCTCGGGAGAAGATTCTTGAGTTGCCCTCTATATCCTGTAAGTACTTTCCGTGAATTTCAATTGGAATATGATAAGAAATGGTTAAAAAACAGAGGGTTGATAGGTGCAATTTTTTTCGATGGCATGACCCGGAAATGGGTGCAAGAGCATTAGCTGTGATTCCAGGCTTGCTCCGCAGCGTGAATGCTAGGGAAATAGAAATCAGACGAGCAAAAATTTTAATTTAATTTAGTGCAATTTCTTGTTTTAGTTTAATTTTTTATTAATATATTTTCAGCATTTAAATTTTCTTTTATTTTTCTTTGGTCAAAGTTGACATTAATCAACAAATTTTAAAAAAATAAAGAACATCACAGTCGAGCAAAAATGGACCGTTAATTCACAGAAATTGAGGTAAAGGGACTACATTTTTTTTTTTGGACTAAAATTGGGCACCAAAACATAATAGGGATTCATTTTTTTGTTTTAAGGACTAAAATTGGGCACCAAAACATAATAGGGACTCAGTCTGGATACCCCCTAAACATGGAGGACCAAAAGTGGAGTTTACCCGACAATATTTTTTGCCTTGTAGGAACACCATTCTCCCGCAAACTAATATTTTCAAGCTCTTTCGATTAGTCACACGGGAAACAACTATATACAACTGACTGTAACTAAACACCGACTTTTTCAATAACATGTCAACATGTGGTAAAGATTGACCCTGACTCTTGTTAATCGTTATGACATACTATTTGGGGAAACTGTCTTCGTTTAAATTTTAAAGGTACTACAAAGTCGAAAGGTGTTTGTCATCCGAGGTATCAACCATTCTCTCCTGCATTAGATCAAGTCACTACCTTACATTCAAGCACACGAGTAGAGAGCTTTGTGACAACCAATCTCGTACCTTACATTCAAGCACATGAGTACTAAAATTATTATAATAAACTTCAAATATTAATGCTAATATTCGTATTAGTATTATTATTTGTATAAGAACACAAATCGCAATGAAAATAAATGAAACTCACCTCCTCGTCATGAAATAGGATTTCCATATAGTTTTATATTCAGTGCAACAATTATTTGAATTACCCGCATCATCAAACATGGTTTATCGGTTCTTGAAACTTGCTTTGGCAAACCGAATTTGCACTTCATGTTGAAAGTATTGTAATTGTCTAAAAGAAGAATTAGAAAAGAATATTGAGCATGTAAGTTATACATGATTTATCTATCAATTTATAGAGTTAGTAAAAGTCTTAAAATGAATGAAATTTTAAAAATATTTTAGTTTGAAAATATTGTAAAAAATGCAACTTATGGTCTAGAAATTGCATCAATTTAATTAATTTGTAAATATTATTTATTTATTTTAAATTATAATAATTTGATATTTGATATTATAATTAATTTGAAAAAGAAATATTTAAATATGTTGCAATGTTCTTCATGTACATTGCTAAAATGTTTTCTTGTGTAGATGTGGGAAAAAACCTATTTCTTTGTTAATAAGACTTCTATCTATTGAAAGATATATTCACACGTTTCTTTATGCTTTTTTTTGGCAAAAAAACCAATTTATTTGGAATAAGTTTTTTGTATATTGCAAAGTAATATCTCAACACACTGTTTTATTTGTAAGTTGGTATCTATCACATATTTGGCAAAATAAATCTTTATGTATAGCTTGGTTATTTTGAATATCTTGAGATACATATAAAATATAAATTCGAATATTATTGTGTTATGTATATGTATTAGTTTGATATCTATATATAATAAATATTGATTTCAGTAGATAAAATTTTTACTTAAAGTTCATATTTTTATTTTCAGAACTTTCATACAAATTGTATTGATTACATTCTACACATTTTTAAAGTAGAAGATCGAAGTAATCTTTAGAATTGATTATATACGTATAGATATCGAATACTAATATCATGTTACACATAGTTAAATAAATTTAATATTTTTTATGAATATTTATTAATTACATTTTTATTTATGGTCATTTGCATTTTTATTGTGAAAAAAATTATAATAAATAAAAAATTTAGAAAAAAATATAATATATATTTAATTCATAATTTTTTAAATAAAAAATACACAATATAGAATAAATAATTCGAATTACTTAAGTTAAATAGCTTGAAAGTTCTATAGTGTTCTTGATAGATGTGTGAAATTACCTAAAATAACACCTAAAATTCGTTGACAAAATGGCGTCTTTTGCGATGGTTTATTATTTATTTATTTATTTACAAGTCATTATTATTCTTTATGTTTGGTATCTATATTTTTATAAATTTACTTTCCTCTTTATCTTTTTACGTGGTTTTAGTGATAAGGCGGTTCATCAATTTTCAAGACAGTTATTGCCTACCTTTATTGTCAAATATTTTTAAAGATTTTTTTGCTAAAATTATGACTGTTCATCTTCTTTTTTCTTTTTCATCTTATTTTCTCCTCGCCGGACGTAACCCCCCGATTCTCTCTTAATTGGCAACCCTATGCATCCTCAATGTTTTCTCTCTTCACCTCATGAAACTGCCGCCGCCGTGGTGCAAATTCCTCGGCCGCCCCTAGTGTTCGCCGCCGCGATCGACAAAACCGGGGAGGTCTCCCCCGTCGTGTTCGATGAATACCAGTGGTCGATTTTCAGTTTTCCGAGGTCATGGGCGTAGTGTTGGGAATAGCATGGGCTCGAAGAGGTGGTCGAGGCGTCGGAGATTGGGAGGCAGAGGTCGTCGAAGGAGAAATCAATGATTTTTTTTTTTTTGAGATTGTGAAATTGTGAAAATTGTTGGACAAGGAACGTTGGGTATCAATGGAGTGAATTTTCGTTTTCTAATGAGTGAATGGGTAGTTGCGTAATGGTTGTTTTCAATCATTATATTTTATATATGTTAAAGCGAATTGGTAGCGTATTCTATTTTTTTTTTTCAATTTGTTCATTGGTAGTGTGTTTTAATTTTTTTTTTTAGTTGTTCATCTGCATGGTGATTTGTGTAAATAAAAATATATTAAGTTGGTGTAAAAACAATTCGGTTGTTTAATGATTTAAATGGTGATTTGTGTATATACAAAAATATATTCAGTTGGTGTAAAAACAAATTGTGTTGTTTANACAAATTGTATTGATTACATTCTACACATTTTTTAAAGCAAAAGATCGAAGTAATCTTTAGAATTGATTATATAAGTATAGATATCGAATACTAATATCACTTTACACATAATTAAATAAATTTAATATTTTTTATGAACATTTATTAGTTACATTTTTATTTATGGTCATTTACATTTTTATTGTGAAAGAAATTATAATAAATAAAAAATTTAGAAAACAATATAAGATATATTTAATTCATAATTTTTTTAAATAAAAAATACTCAATATAGAATAAATAATTCGAATTACTTAAGTTAAAT